TATATATATATATATATATATATATATTATATATATTATAAAGACGTTATCATACAACGAATCAATTAGTAATATTAATGTAATTAATAGCTAATTCTCTTCGGTATCAAACTAATTATAATCATTAACATACAAATAATCCCCCGAATGACGCGATCTTTATGTATAAAATGGTTATCAACTAAGCACCTCCAGGCGGTGTAATAGTTAGCAAGCTTGACTTGCTAGAGCAATTACGACTGAATAGTGAGTTCGATCCTCACTAGATGCACATATATTCGGCCTTATATAACCTCTACGCTACGCTTAGAAAGACGCTATAAAATCGTTATCAGATAGATCTGGTGTATTTTTAGAGCAGCAAGTATTTTCGAAAACTAATGAAAAAATTACATCCTGACGATGAAAATATGAACGTTTCGAAAGTACTTGCTGCTCTAAAAATAAACCAGATCCATCTGACAACTTTATACATAAGGATCGCGCTATTCAGTGAATTATTAGTAAGTTAATGTTTATATTGTCTGTTAGAGAATTCCCCATGATTACATTAATATTACTAATTGATTCATTGTATGATTACCTCTTGAAGTCAACATTTAGAGACGACAGGCTGTTTCATGCTCGACGCAATCCTTAGGCCTCCTGATTATGACCATGGAATATTAGTGTTTAAGCCTTATTATTATATCCTTACTCTGTCCTGGACATTGAGTTCTACCTGGATTCTATCCTCTTGCAAATTTTTTCTTCAAAAAAAATATACATGTATGTGTATGCATCTATATATATATATATTTTTGTATTTTGTATGTATGTATGTGCATATTTATATATATATATATATATATATATATATATATATATATATATATATATATATATATATATATATATATAATTGGAGTAATAGATAGCGGTTCGGATTAAGGAATCGAAGAGTTCGAATTCCAGTTGAGTTCATTACATTCACTTACGTGCTCATATCGTTGGGAACGGCAGGAACCCATCTCTTCCCTGCGCACCACCGAGTTAAAATTCGAACTGGGTTCTATAGCTTCAAGTTGTTGCATTTATTTGGGTATATGTACTAGTGAGTTAGTCCAAATGCCTTGACTCACTTTATAGTCCGCCAATGGAAGGTTAACCAATCAGAAGACGTAGAACATTCAATCCGTCGTGTATAAAGGCGGCCATTTTGTCTACCCTACCGAATATCCACTGCTAACCTGAACAACGATTTTCTGCTGTCTTCAAGATATTCATTGCTAACCTCTGGATTCTATACTCAAAAACGACCGTCATTATGAACAACACAAGTGGCGAACGATATAGAAGGACACCTTTGAATTCAAAACATGCGGAGGGACCTTGTAGCATATTGGACACTAGATCACTGTATCCGGTTCTTCCAAAAAGTGAGGTTGGTTCACTGCTATAATCAAGTGATATGTGCCAGTTGGCAGGCTGTTAGTTCCAATAACTGAAGTGCTTGACTTTCATACGTCGAAAACGACGGGAGTGTCTAGAATAAATCGGTTGTAACAGCAAAATTGTCAAAATCGTGTAACAGCATAATTAGCCATCTCACAAAATCTTTAATATCTAAAAAAAAAAAAAAAAAACACTAAACAAATTGAATTTCTTTTTTCCAGGTTTTCAGATAAGATGTTTAGCCGTCCTGAAACCATTTGTCTTAAAAATTACTGAAAAACACTTTAAGTTATTCAGCTAGAAAGAGAACAGTTTAAAATCGTTTTGTGTTAGCCCCACTATCTGACTGAGCAATGGTGAGAGGAAAAAATCATTCAAGCTCTCAGTAATGCTACCAAAACAATACTACGGCTTCCATCTTCAAAGTCCATTCAAGAACCATCAAAAGAACGGTGAATAAGTTTAAAAAAGAGAGAACAGAAGAGAGGAAAACTAGATCAGGAGGTCACAACATGAAGAGGGATCATCATTTCAACTTAGAGCAAAAGAAATCAATTAGAAAAGATCCAACTCAATTCATAAGACGTTTGGCACGTGAGAGTAGAGTTTCAGCTATGACAATCCAAAGATCAGTGAAAAAACACTTGAAGACACTTTGTTATTCCAGAGATGGCGAAGTTCATGTTGAATGAGTTTGAAATGATCCTGGAATTATATATATATATATATATATATATATATATATATATGTGTGTGTGTGTGTGTGTGTGTGTGTGTGTGTATTTGAAGTTTATTTCAGTCCTTCATGAGCTTGAGGAGTAATTAAACATTCTTATTGCTCTAAGTAGAGGCCAACAATGTTATAAAAAACCTCGGCGAATTCCAGTAAAATATCTTTAATCATTTCTCGGATACAACGTTTCAGAATTTAATCTAATAATTGGACAATTTTGCAGTTACACAATTTGGACAATCTTACTATTACACCCTGAATATATATATATATATATATATATATATATATATATATATATATATATATATATATTTGGTGCGGCCAATAAACGTTAAGCCTGAAGTTACCGGAGACTGTTTCAAATTTTCTGCTTGCCAAAGAACACCAGGATGAAGGAATTCTTCTTACCACAAAGACACTACATTGGTTCTTGAAAATGATTGAGACTGTCGAACCGACTTGAACCAACCAACAACAGAAACATGAATTTCGAACAGTTTATTAAAAATTTTATGACAATATACTTATTCGAAAATTATAAAAAATTAAAAGCTTTTCTAATTAAATAATATCTTAGATTTATGGCACTTTATATTTTACGATTCAGAGCAGATTTTCGATAACAGGTGTTCCAGTCTTGCAAAAAGAAATTAATGATTTAAATTTTCAAAAGAGTTCTACTTTTACCTAATATAAACATTAAACGGATCAAAATTTGATTTCTCGAAATTTCATCAAATGTAATTCAGTCAGTTATATGCCATCGTTGATACACGCTTAGGCGATCATGTATCTTTCGATACATGACTGTCGAGGCAGATTTTTTCCTGCAGTAGGTTGCTATTTCTTTCTGCGGTAGACCAGTTGCCATCTAAGGCTATAGAACACGTTCTGTTCTGCTATTTACCCATAGCTGGGGGTGGATATAATTCATACCTTTCCCAATGCTATTATCAAGTAAGTGAATGTAATGGAAAGTCAGTGTGTTATGTGCCATGTGTGGTACACGCTTAGGCGATCATGTATCTTTCGACACATGACTGACGAGGTAGATTTTATCCCGCAGTAGGTTGCCATTTCTTTCTGAGGTAGACCATTTGCCATCCAAAGCTATAGAACCCGTTCTGACCTGCTATCTACCCATAGCTGGGGGGGGGGAGAAGGGAATTCATACATTTCCCAAAGGGTATTACCACGTAAGTGAATGTAATGGATTCGACTAGAAAGTCAGTCATTTCAGTTATGTGCCATGCTTGATATATGCTTAGGCGAACATGTATCTTTCGATACATGACTGACGAGGAAGATCTTTCTCGCAGTCGGTTGCCATTTCTTTTTACGGTAGACCAGTTGCCATCCAAGGCTATAGAACCCAGTCTGTCCTGTTATTTACCCATAGCTGTGTGGCTGGAGGAGAAGATGATTCATACCTTTCCCAAGGGTGGTAGCGTGTAAGTGACTGTAATGGATTCGACTGGAATTCGAACTCGGTTTGAGGAATCGGAGAACCGAGCCGATATCCATTACTCCGCCGTGCCTCCTAAAATTTAAGTGGGTGTGGTGGGGGATGTGGGGGGGTTGTTTGTGGTGTTACGGATTTTAAAAATTGTTTTTGCCAAAAAAAAAAAAACATTTCTAAAATGTCATTCTTTTGCTAATACGTCCTGAAAGTTTAATTAAAATCCGACAATTATTTATTCTTTTATAAGAATTTCTAAATCAATGTCTTATTTTACCGGTAAAAAAAATCGATAGAATTCCCTATACTTGTTTATAGTTGACGCCAAAGAAAGCAAGATTTTTAGCCAAAATTTCAAACGTTCTAAATAGGTTCGAAACATAATTTAATATTAAAAAAATCATTTGCTCTTTCCTCTTAATAATGACATAATGATTTTGACGATAAAACTTTGTTTTTATTCATTTTGGGGGCTTTTTTCATCATGGTATGCTAATTTTTTAGCAAATCACTGGAGGTACCTATCTTAGACGAAGAAACAAATGCTCGCTATAAATCCAGAGCGTTCTGCTCATCGTCCAGTAAAATATTTGTAAAATCGCCGATCTCCTTGTGGTATAAAACATTTGGACAGTTTCTACACTGTTTCCAAAAATGAAATCTCTTGTGCGACACAAGAAAAATTAAATAAAAAGCTTAACCATAGTACATTGTGTGTCGTTTTATTGAAACATGCATAAATGAAGGATTGCTTCCTGATTACACAATATAAATATATATATATATATATATATATATATATATATAAAATATATATATATATATATATATGTGTGTGTGTGTGTGTGTGTGTGTGTGTGTGTGTGTATGTGAACAGTAAGATATATGTGTGTTCTTATAGAATTTTATTTTTAAAAGTAGTGCTCAAAAAACAGGGTATTGAAAATAATAAAATCTTGAGGATGAAATGGAACTAATGTATTTAATTTTCACAAAATTAAATTCGGGGGGCATTAATTTTGAAACAAATAGAATGAAAAATTCGAAAAAAAAACATATTTTAAAGGATTAAATGGAATATATATATATTTAATTATATATATATATATATATATATATTATATGTATGTATGTGTGTTGTGTGTGTTAAAATATATTTTAGGAAAGAACATGGTAAATAATCCAAAGTTCATTAGATTTTGTTATTAAAAAATAGTGCGATAAAAAAAATTTATTTATTTAAATCAACGGTGCATTCAATTTTTTTAATTATAATATATATATATATATATATATATATATATATATATATATATATATATATGAGTCTTCTCTGTATCTCTCACTATTCGGATAGACCCGTTTTTGTTGATGCTGCTTGCAAGTAGACCGGATCAGATCGACAGATTTTGTGACAAACCACCCCACCCAACCACTTCGTGTAATCCGTGAGAAAGACAAGCGAGCAGCGCTTTTCACCCGCATGTATTTTTGACGAGAAGATGATGATGTGATGCAAACGCTTTTTAGTAATTCGCTAACCGGCCAAGGAGACTGTCAAACAACTGCTGTGTCATCTACACCGAGCAGAGATCCACTTGAGTAACAGTATTGTGTATTATAGCCCGCGCCGACAATTAGAAAGATTGGTCGGGGGGTGTGGAGTTTCACTGTCTATGACTTGGTCAGTACCGTCAGTATTTTTTTGTTTGTTTGTTTTTTTTATTTGAAGCGTTGGCAACCATTAGGTAGTAGTTTTCTTTAGTCATACGAAGAGGTCCAGTCGACTTGGAACGGGGAGGAAGATGCCAATTAGCAGGACCGGATAAACGCTGCGTTTGAGAGAGAGAAAGAGGGAGGGAGGAGGGAGAGAAAGCGGAGGAGGGGGGGATGAGCAGTAGGGGGAGGAGGAGGAGAGAGAGAGAGTATGCTGAGGAAGCTGTACGAATATAAAGTGTTTCTTTTATTCAAGAGGAGGACAATGTTTGATGGGTGATTAGCGGGCCTTGTGATGATGTTTAGGCAAACAATAATATAAAAGCAAAGGAGAGGAAAAATCCAAGTTGAGGGTCGGGGGCGGCTTGTTTAAAAAGGCACAATGATCAAGGAGGAGGCGAAATGTGTTAAAGCTGAGGGTGCCTATAAGATTTATAAACGATTTTCTTGTAGCGGCTCCCTTCTGTTTAAATTTACTCATCTTCGCAAACAGAAGTTGAAGGGATAATAATTGAGGAAAAAAAAATCACATGCAAACAGCGCATGTCGCTATGTAACTTGGGGTCTAAACACTTCAAATTTTTGGAAATGTAGCGGTGATTTTTTTTAACTTGACAGGGAAACACTCTAAGAGCTGAAACATTTTTATAAATATCTTCCAAAGCTTATTTCCTGTACGCATTTAAAGACAATCTATGACTCCATTATGTTATTATTATTAATATTATCATTGTTACAACACTCTGAAAAGAGCGCGGTTTAAGAATGTTTAACAATGTTTAACGATATTCTTCTATTTATGTTTAAAAATTGCATACAAGTAAAAAAAAATATAAAAAATACTAGTCTTTGTATAAACGTTGTGTCTTGAAAAAAAAACGGTTGTACTGATAATCAATGCGATAAAACAAATAAAACGTAACCAGCGTAGAAGAAATGCAACTGGAACGTCAGTAACTAGATAGGGGCAGTTCTTACAATTTTTCCGTCAATTAATTAGTGGGAGCAATTAATCAAATTGGTTAGTAAAAATCAATGGAACTCTTATATCAGTTTGTTAGGTGGGACTTTAGTAATTTGCATATGTAATTATCTTCATGTGTTTTAAGGATTGAAATGTCGGTGTTTTTTTTATATTTGGCTTATTATCTTTATTATCATTATTATTATTATTATTATTATTATTATTATTATTATTATTATTATTATTATTATTATTATTATTATTATTATTATTATTATTATTATTATTTATTATTATGATTATCATTATTATTATTAGATTGACCGAGAGTGCCAACAAAACTACGGCAAGAAAATGCTGTTTGGTTATATGTATAAGAAGAGAAATATACTCATCGGGAGATCCACTCTGCTAACGCTCGTATTTTTAAGTCCCTCCTCTCCTTCCTACACATATATAATACTATAAACCTTATGGAAATCTCCTATGATGTTGTTCACAAACCCCGAGGTGGGACGTTAGAAATTTACATATGTAATTATCTTTGTGTTTTAAGGGTTGAAAGATCGGTGGATTCTGGATATTTTTTCAGAATGAGTACTTTAATTTGGGACATATTATTATCCTATTATAACTGCACTTATACCACACTTCGTTAGTTCGCACGACCCTTATGCTCTGCCAATAACTAATAAATAAGAGTGTAAAAGACACTAGTAGATTTCAATGAGAAAATGAAAGAAAGAAGGAACGATAGGAGGAGGAGGAGGAGGAGAGAGAGAGAGAGAGAGAGAGAGAGAGAGAGAGAATCAGATCCAGCTGATAAGAATAGATACTACACTTTGATCTTAGCCAAAAGACCGAGAAACGATTATATTTTCTTGTTCTGTCCGAAGTCAGAGACACAACTGAACGATGAAATAGAGTTGATCAGCCTGGGGGCAGATACTACACTTTGATCCTCACCAAAGGCCGAGAAGAGATGATATATTCTTGCCGCCCCAAGTTTAGTAAGATGTGACACAAGGTCAGTTCAATGTAGGGAGAGACACACGTGCACCCGGGCCATTGTCAAAAACCCCGGCAATCTTCGGAGTTGGTGTCGCGGGCAGCTATTTCCCGAGACCGGGTATCTTTCAATATTTTCAGGTATACTGACAAAAGAAATTGACTTTATTCGCCCGAGGGCAG